GCTGTGAAAAATTATGTTCTAAGCTTAGTTTAGTTATTCCTGATTTTTTTTTATTGGTTTTCATCATTGTTTGCAAAATAAAAATAAAAGTTTTTGTGGGCGAGGGGAGGAGGGCCGCTAGAATTCATATTTCTAAAAGGTAACATTTTTCATAAATTTAAATATAAAAGAATTACTATCTCAGTATTGGATTTAAGAGGGAAATGTTTTGGTGTTGTTTAAAACAGCTGGTTCTGTAGAATGGGATAAATCTGCATTGAAAATCTGTTAAAAATAGTTCACCGATTATCTTTCTATATTTGTTTTATTCTAAGAATCTTCTAATGTATGCCCAGAAACCAAACTTTTTCTAATTTGTACCAGCTACCTGCTCTGGTTACATCTTTAAATTAACACATTTCAACTACATTTAAATAAGTTAGCTGGGCATGGTGGCTCATACCCACAGTCTTAGCATTTGGGAGGCTGAGACAGGAGTATCGCAGGGGTTTAATGCCAATGTGAGCTGTACCTTGAGACCTTGCCTCCCAAAACACAGGCAAGAAAACCACACCGTCCCACACTTACCACTGGTTTACATTGTGCTTATCCAACTTTACTATGCATGCAAATCATCTGTGGCTTTTACTGAGTCTACACATCTGGAGAGGGATGTGGCTGGTCATAGACCATACTGTGAAAAAAATTTAGCACCATTTTCGGCCTTCTGCATTTTGAGGGATTTTGCATACAGAAAAGAAATAAGAGACTGAGCAGGAAAGCTTCCCTTGGCTAGTAACTTTCCATTTTTGCTGTTTTTCTCTCAATGTGGCACAGTCAATCCCTACTAGGCTGTGAAAACTAATTATTACAACATTGAGGAATTTTGCGAGTCATAACTACTGTAGCTTGACATGCCAGTGGTGAGAGTGTTTATACCAAGGAAATAGCGAAATGATACAATTTATGTTTTTTCTAAATAAACACAATTTTTTAAAGCAACTCCCTACACCACATTCAATAAAAATAAATAGTAATAATATTTCCCCATGACAGAGGGTACACCTCATTCTTACCTTGTTCTAGGTTTAAGCTTGCTGATACCATGCTGCTTGTCGGACTGACCACAGCAAACACGAAGCCAGGGTTGCAGAACATCATAGCAGTGCAGATTCAGTGCTTGCTTACAGCACTAGCTCAGGAGCATGGGCTAGTGTAAACCTCATCTACCAGGCCCAACTCTGCCAGGTGCTGTTTTATAAGAAACCTTTCTGCGTAGGGAGCTGTGAGAATCAGGTGAGGTCTAATTAGGATGACAGAGAGCTGCATGTTTCAGTACAAAGCCTGGCCACCTGAGGATACCTGCTGCAGTGGTTCCTAACCTGTGGGTTGTGACCCCTTTAGGGGTCAAATGACCTTTTCACAGCGGTCTCCTAAGACAATCAGAAAATACAGATAGTTACATTATGATTCATAACAGCAGCAAAATTAGAGTTATGGAGTAGCAATGAAAATTCTGATGGTTGTGATATTAATGGGTGGGGGTCATTAACCCCCACTTGAGGGACTGTGTTAAGGGTCTGCAGCATTACGAAGGTTGAGAGGCACTGTGCTAGAGACTTCTAAACCAAGTTCACACCCATCATCCTACTGAGTCTCTGGCCTCAATAAGGTACAAAGCTGCTTGTGTTGATATTTCAACCCTGTATTTGAAAGATGAGATTTCAACTCCAGCTTACTGGCTTAATTTGCATGATTATATTTAGTACAATATGATTACTGGATAATAAATATTTGATCCTCTATTTCCTGATAGAGTGATTTTTCTTATCATTTTTATGACTACTTGTTAAAATTCACAATGCATGGTGAATGCATTTTCTCTTGGAAGTAGGTGATTTTAACATTGGAGAAAACACATTCTTTAAAAATAACCTCTTCTTTAATGTGTAGATTTAAAACAAACAAATATTTATCTACAGAATATAATGTTGTTCAGATAAATTAGGCTCTTGGAATGTCACTGTATTGCAAATGTTAAATTTGCAGCAGTGACTGAATTAGGATTTTTAAAAATTCAATGAAGAAATGAAGAATTTTTTATGCTTATTTCATTAGTGTTATAAATTTTTTTTGGTTTCGTTGCTGTTGCTGGTGATATAGAACTTGCTATGTAGACTAGACTGGCCTTGAGTTTGTCACTATCCTCCTTCCTCTGTTTCCCAGGTACTGGAATTGGCAGGTGTGCACCCCTCACCTCAGTCATGGTTGTTTTAAATGACACTGATCAGACTTTCCCATTACTGATGGAACGAATATAGACCTCAGTTTGTTTGAAATACTGACTAGCAACACACCTGATTTGAACGTCTTTGCCTTTGTTTTTATTTATTTCACCTTAAGTTAGATAGGTGATGATTTATGGCTAAAGAAAACGGTATTTGTCTTTCTACTCTACAGCGAGGGAATAAAAGTGCAAAATTGGGAGCGTTAAAAGAAGCACACTTCTGTTACACATGCCTATGTATTGTGTTTAACCATGTTTCACAGAATGTGAAGAAAAACATGCTTGAGAATTTCACCCTCCCACACACACAGGCTGAGAATCGGCATTTCCCAACTCTATCCATTAGGCTGTAAATCAGGAGCAGCTCAGTCCAGTGGCAGTCTGCTAGCTGCAGAAGAGAGGGGTGCTCTTTTGCCCAGTCCTTCCAGTCTCCCACAGACCCACCCTTACCCTCTTCCCCACACACTATGCATCTGGCATTGTTTAATCCCATTACCTAACCTGTTCCCAGTTCTGGCATGATTATTCAGTGAGTGGGAGAGATTCTGAGGACAAGCTCCGTGTAGCAGAGCCAATGTGGATGTATTTTGCTGCCAGGCTCTGTTGACTGAGGGCTATGCCAGTGGTTGAAAACTTCTGTTCCTCTTGTGGCCACAATGCACATCCAGTGCAAGACACCACTGTCTAATAACGGCATTAATACGCCTAAGAAGAGATTAGTGTGGAGTAATGTCATATTAGAAACATAAACAAGGGTGCTAAAGCATGGTGGTGCCTATGTATAATGCTAGCCCTCAAAAGGAAGAGGAGGAGGCCCACAATAGAGCTACCAGGGCTACATAGTGAGACCCCATATCTCGGTAGGAATATATTGAGATTGCTGGGGGCGTCAAGGGAAGACAGAAAATTCATCAGAAAATATCTTAACTAAGAGAGGCAATAAGGACCAGTCCAGTTTGGGACTAGAACCAAATGATGGGATTGCCTCATTAAGAAGCCAGCCACTTTTTTATCCTATGCCAGAATTCCATACAGAAGTGATTTGAAAAAACAGATGTGGGGGCTGTGAGCTTTCAGAGCACTGAGTGGGGTATCTTTGGTGACATGACACTGATCAGATGCTCCTACAATCAAATGCTTCTATGTATAAACTGTGGGAAAGTCAGAATCATTTTAGATGATTGTTGCACAGAGGATATGTGTTTGAGGCTCTCCAAGGCTAGAGGCTAGCCTGCTTTTGTGGACCTTTGTTATTAGTTGATTATGGTAGTGTGCGGATTGATGAATGGGTCTGGGCAGGAGCAGGGCATCTTCTGGAATACAATGTCTGGGTGCATAGTATCTCCGACAAAGAATTGAGCAGGACACAGTATAGTAGTGTTTGAAGGTAGTAGTTGAAGATGGGTAAAGTGAGAACTTAAAAGCAAAGGGTAACATAACACTCCTTGAGGTGCATGTAGCGTTAAGAGCACCTCCTCCTCAGGACTCAGGGATTTTCCTCATACAAAGGAAAAGCAGGGATTCCCTTTGCCTGCTGTAGATGATTTGGGTTTTTGTCTGTTTATTTGTTTGTCTGTTTGTGGGCTTTTTATTTTGTTTTTGTTTTTTTTTTTTTGTTTGTTTCTGCTTATTTGAAGGAAATTATGTAATCTTAGAACATTCCAGGGCAGCACAAGGGATGATATTTTTGGTTGCTGGGACCCAAAGATTAATAATCTCCTTAGGACTCAACAATCTACCTTCCTGCCTCATATGGACTATTTCTAATGTAGAAGCTCTGGGTCTTATACAGCCTTTTAGAAAGTTATTTTTCCTGTGGGCAATTTGATAAGACCAAGCCTAAAGAAGATGTATGAATTTGAAGGGTCATCTGCAAATGTGGGGAGCAAAGTCCCCCAAAAAGATGGGGCTACTTCCAGCAAGAGCAGATATGTGGGAAGTCTATAGAATTCTAACTTCTAATCTTGAGTACCTTTTAAAATGCAACTGAATGGATTGCTGCCTTTTAAGCCAAAGGGGATTATGGAACTGATTTGGGGGACAGTGGCAAGACAGTCTGACAGGTAAGGTATGTAAAATAATTCATGGTGTATATTCATAAATTTGAATGTGTGAACCATATGTTACTGTTTGGAACATTATGGGCTAAGAGTCAGATGAAAATACACACATGAAAACTTCTTTAGACTTGCCATGTTTGCCTGTCTCCCCTGCAGATATTACATGTGTTTACGGGTTTAATGAGTGGAGAGGCTGGAAATGGGCATGATTGTCTATACATGAGTCTCGGTGGTCATTGATTAAGAAAAACAGAAGTCGGAGAGAACTTAAGTTTTGCCATCACAACACAGTTAATCCTTTTACATCATAGTTGACTCTAACTTGTTTTAAGAGACACTTTGTTAAAAAATAATTTTTTTGATGAACAGATACTTTTTATCCTTAAATCCAAAAAAGAAAAAAAAATGTTTTTTTTTACTTCTAGCCAACATCCTGTAGCTGCTACTTTGTCCCACACATTAAACTAGCCAAGAATGTCTTGTTCTGTGGGAGAGGTGACTGAAGTCTGGGTGGGTGATTAAATTCCTCGGGGAAGACTTGGTAGATGCTGCCTACTCTGCCCAGCCCAGGTTGCCACTGGAAGATCAGGGCTTAACATGAGTAAGTATGTACGTGAACAGCCACAAGGTGCCTTTCCATGCTAAATGTGGTTCCCCACATCTCCTCTGATTAGAGGTGTGCTCTGAACAAGCCGAGACCGGGCCATGCCGCGCAATGATCTCCCGCTGGTATTTTGATGTCACTGAAGGGAAGTGCGCCCCATTCTTTTACGGCGGATGTGGCGGCAACAGGAACAACTTTGACACGGAAGAGTACTGCATGGCGGTGTGTGGCAGCGTCTGTAAGTGGACCCTTCCTCCAGCCTGGCCACCTTTCATCTTTCTCGCCACTGGCTCTGCTCTTTGTAACAGATTGAATTTTTTTCGTGTTCTCGGGAATTGGCCTATTGCTACCACTAACCACACTCCTGTCAACTTCTGTAATTACTAGAAGTCTCCGCAAGGATGTTTAATCATGAGCACATCTCTTCGTCTCTCTCTAATAAAGCATGTCTTTGGATGTATTCTTTTAGAGTCCTGGTAGATTCCTCTTGCAACCCGTAGGAACTTCTGGCTGCTTCTCTTCACAAAGGGGCTAGAGTGGCTTTTGTCTTCGTCAGTCCTCCCTGCAAATGCATACTTCCGTGTCCGTCTATGTACATATGTATTCATGTTTCTGCATGTGCAAACAGCTTCTCCCTGGAAGCTGACTTAAAGCTTCAGTTGCCTTGACAAGATTGCTATAGAGAATGTCTTTGTTGTTTCATCTCACTTTTTTTTTCTTTCTTCATTTTGTTAATGAAATTTAATTGAATTGAGCTCATGCAACCTCAGATGCTGCCTTAGTTAGGGTTGTATTCCTGTGAAGAGACACCGTGACCGCAGCAACTCTTATAAAGGAAAACATTTAATTGGGGCTGGCTTATAGTTCAGAAGTTTAGTTCATTATTATTATGGCGGGAACCATGACAGCACACTGGCAGATATGGTACTAGACAGTTAGCTGAGAGTTCTTCATCTAGATCCACAGGCAGCAGGAAGAAGAGAGACATTGGGCCTGGCTTGAGCATCTGAAACTTCAAAGCCCACCCCCCCCCCAGTGACATACTTCCTTCAACAAGAGTACAACTGCTTCAACAATGGCACACCCCCTAATAGTGCCACTGTCTATATGGGGCCATTTTCTTTCAAACCACCACATTCCTACACCCAGAGCATGTATTTTTGTCAAGCTTTTTTTTTTTTTTCCTGGAAAATAGTTAGAAGAGGACTAGGGATATGGATCAGTTAGTAAAAGTACTTGTTATGCAAATGTAAGGACCTTGGTTCGGACCCTATAATGCACATAAACTGAATGTGTAGTCTGTGTCTCTGTAATGCTGGCACTTCTAAAGGGAAATGGAAGACAGAGACGAGAGTCACCTGAGGTCTGTGACCAGCTAGCCTGGGCTCCACAGTTGAAACATACTCTATCAAACAAGATGTAAAGCATGTGCTGGCACTGAAGGTGACCTCTGACTGTCACTTAGGCTCTGCACATTCACACATAAATGCACATGTGCATACTTGCTGTGCAACACAGGCAAAGAAAAGAACTATGCTCGCAACTTCCAATGGCATGAGGCTGAGGGAAATAAACTGCCGTGTCTCTCTGGACCATCAAGTATATGAAGTCACAACTTCAGTGCAAGATGAAATATTCACCCGAGAGTCGGCCTTCAAGGTGTCATGTCTCAGATATATGGAGTATCTGCCTTTGTTAGTGCTCTTTCAAGTTGAGTTCTTGGTTGTATTTGTCTATTCTTGACCACAGGTTGGAAATATGAATGGCTGTGGAGGATCTTAGTAAATGTGCATTTCTTGTTTGAGTGATTCTTGCATGTTATTCCTGGATTTAGAGGGAGGTGATTCCTGGCCAGGAATACCTGGGAAAATTATAACGATTTTCCAACCAAATCATAAAATCAAGCAAAACAACAAAAGACTTGCTTAATGAGGACCTTAAACTGTAGCTGGTATCTGGTTGGGACCTGGAAAGTTCTTGTTGATCTCCTAGAAGACGACTCTTTCAGCCCTCTGTGGAAACAAGTGTGGAGAGGCTCTGACTCTAATTGGATGATCTAGCTTCCAGCTCAAGGTACCCACCCTCATTTTCACCTGAGGTTAATTGGGTTAGGTAACAGGAACTCAATGAAGGATTCTGGAGTCTGGAGGCTTTGGAACAAAGGGCCTTTGTTACAGTGGCTCTGAAAGGTTTAGCTGCTAGGTGAGGGTTTCCTGGCAAAGTTTTCAAAATTTCCCCCTTTCCCTAAGGTTAGGTTTAGTTTCTGGAATAGCATATCCTGGCAGTGAGGAAGTTTGCTTCATATTATTAGCAGAGATTAATTCACTTCCAGATCTGGACACTATGTTCTTACTCACCCTGTTTTAACTGCCCCTCCCCCCCCATTTCCATTTGATCACTCTGGGCAGAAAGTAAAGGGTATACCTTCACCGGGGTTGGGGGTGTATACACCTATGGACCGATTAGTAAAAAGTCAATGCTACCAACAAGGCTTCATTAGAGAAGGCCAGTAGTTCTTGTTTAGTTCTTAGAGAGTTGTGTTACAAAGTATCAAGGAAGCAAAGACAGAGCTCCAAATGTAGATTGGTAGTTGGTGCCAGACTCTGCTTTAATTTCTCAGAACCTTTGGAGGAAAAAGGCAGAGGATGGAGAGACCCCTCAGACGCTTTCAATGCAAGCAAGAGAGCCTGAATTCAGGTCACCAGCATCTGCTGGACATGGTGGCTTGAGCCTGTACTCTTAGCACTTGGGACGCAGAGACGGCAGGATCCCTGCAGCTTGCTGGGCAGCCCATCTAGCCAATCAGCAAACTACATGTTTAAACAATATGGCAGGCAATGATCAAAAAAAGATTTAGTTGGTCTCCACACACATGTGTATGTAACCTAGCACACCTGCATGCATACACACAGAGATCACAAACAAACACTACACACATTAATAAATTCAAAAAAAAAGGAAAGAGAACAAAGGGGTTGAAGGTCAGTTAGATGGGCGGATACTCATGAATGGACATATAGATAGGATGAAGTACAGTACAGTATAGTATAGTATAGTATAGTATAGTATAGTATAGTATAGTATAGTATAGTATAGTGTGAAGAAAAGAATAGAATGAAGGAAGCATCACTGCATAGCTGAGCCAGGAGGCAAAACTATCCCTGTGAATAAGTGACATTCCGGAGCTGCTGTGAGGAAAGCATTGAAGGGCACTGAGGATCATTGGTGCTAAGGAGGGAGAAGAGAACCTTAAGTCCTCTGGCATATTTCCCACCATCCCGTCAGTGGCACACCATGCCGCATTCGTCAGCACTAATCTTTACTGGGAACAAATCTCATCTGCGTTGCCTTTGTTCCCTGTTTAGGTTTTGCTTTTAGTTTTCACAATTTTTCCTCCGTTCTTAGTTTTGAATGAATCGTATCAGTGTGTTTCTGCCATCATTCCCATGTTTCTGTTTTTGTTTTTAGCCATGTTCTCTTGTTTTCTCCATAGTGTCCCAAAGCTTACTCAAGACTACTCACAAACCTCTTTCCCAAGATCCTGTTAAACGTATGTTATCATTGACTTGGGGAGGGACAAGGGAATGAGTGTGTTGCATGGTTGGATGTGACCTTTGCCCCCATCACCTGTTTTGCATGGGTTTTGTGATTCTTGACCACGTGCCTTTTGATAGGCACTATTTTCCCATCGCCTTGCTTGTCATTTCATTCCGTTTTACCAGGCAACTTTAGAAGCTGGGTGGAGAGCATCTACTTAAACTACCTATCTATATTTCTGATCAAATTACTTTCTGATTTGTGGAGGTTCATGAAATATCGTACATGTAGTATTTCTTGGTTTGGCAGAATGTTTTTATTTCCTAAAAGCTGCCAACATGCCATAATTTAATGAAATCATATTTGTTAATAGAGATATTCCCTCCATAAAAATTTAATATTGTATATCAAAGACAAATTTGTGTGCACATTTCAAGTTTTGTGTGTTAAATGACAACTGTGCAGCATTAGGAGGGGAGAGGTCAGTCACTTAGATTTCAGAACTACTTACTTTTCCCCCAGAATGCATGCTGTTGGAATGAGTTGCTCCACTTAGGGACTTATTAATAGGAAAGAGAAAAGGAATTTCCTATAAAAAGACATTGCATCAACCAAACACTTTTGGTCTCAACAATGTTTTTTATTGTGGTGGTTGCCCAGCCAGTCTAATTTCATTTTAAAATGTCATATCAAACACATCGGTATTCATTTTTAAAATTCAGACTATATTTAGAAATAGATTCATCCACTCCAGGGATGATCTATATTGTTGATAGTTACTGAGGCGTGAAGAGAAGACCCAATTTCAGTTAGAAGTTATATAATTAAAACTCACTCTTATCATAATTATTCTGGTATGTGTGTGGAAGGGAGGATCCTAACCTCAAAACTGTTTAAAAAAAAAAAAAAAGAACATTTTTTTTTAAAGATATAGTGTATATGATTATATCATCCTACACCACCGTTTTTCAGTGGTCACCATAAGATATTACTGTTAATTCAAATAGCAGAATAACATGTGAAAGATGTGGTTTTGTTTTGTTTTGTTTTTTATTGTCACAGTAAACCCATTTCCCGCTTTTGTGAAAGTTTTCTTCTAGAGCATTAAGTCTGGCAGGTAGGTAGCATAGGGCCAGGGAAGGTCCCTGGCCATCACACCCAAGGACTGGGAAGACACTGATTTGTGTGTGTTGCATTGTTCCCAGTATTTTCAAAGATCACAGATCTTTTCTGGCACACTTGTGTACATTCTCCTCGAATCTTTTGTGCATATGAGAAAATAAGAGGCCTAGAACATGTATTGACTTGTCTGGAGGCATCACACACGGGAGGACCACATTTGAAACCTAAATGGCACTCTGGCTGTGTTCCACACCAAATGGCTCAGCACTTGGTGCTGACATTTTCTAGGTTAGACTGTTTCTGATATTCAGAAAGCACGTTTTAAAAACAACAAGAAAGAGCAAAAAGCTGAAAAATACTAACGGGCATTTCTCATCCTCTCTAAAGACAATGGTGACTGGTTTTCTTCAATTTTATTTTATTTCCTTTCAGTATATAAAAGACTTCCAGTTTTCATTCTTATTAAGTGATTAGAAATAAACATTATTTGATAATTAATTTTCATTAAATATGCATAACACTTTCCAGACAGATATTGGAATTCTTACTTTCTCCTCTCACTTACAGTGTGGTTCAGAC